TGTTGTTTGAGCAATCAGATTGTCTGCCCATTAACATATTAAATATTGGGTCAAGTTTTTTATTTGGATCTAACTGTGAGTTCGTAAATAAGTAGACAAAATCTTAACCACTAATTTATAAAAAGTGTCAATGTAACAAACATCTATTGCTCATACTAAACTAAATCTCCAACTTAAATATCTGGATTGGTTGTGGAATACGGACATCCAAACTGGAGGAGCTCTGCCTATCGCTAGGAACTGAAGGGAACAACAAGACACATTAAGATCAGTTGACTTACAAATAACTGCCATCTTTTTTAATGTTTATAACAATCATTTAGTTAATAGTTTATTGTATTTGGGAGAGTTGACAGAGAAAATACAACAATATAGTACACTAAACTATCACAATTGAAAAAAGTAAATCCCAATGTTGATCCCAATGTTGATTATATTTCCATGATTCTTTTCTTGCTTATGAACAACATTTCCAATCAATACTCTCAAAATCACCATTTTCCTACTGTAATTAATCACAAAATTCCCATGTCTCAATAGAAACAAGTGCTAGACAATATCTCCAGTGTGATGCCTTAGTCGCCATTGAATTGAGAATGTATTTACCTCCCAACAAGCAAACTTGGCAACATTTTAAAAATGAGTAGCACATCATTATTTTCAATGCAAATTCTCTATCAAGCAGCCAACAATTTTGTCATTCAAAAATGATTAAGAATGAAACAAGGGGAATGGTTTGAGTTGTAACTTTTAAGATTGCATTTCAAAGTTAAAAAACTCAGCAAGGCCAAGTTTGACTGAAATCCAGTTTAAAAGCAGCTATATACAATAAGTACAAATCTTTAAAGGTTGCTACATGATGCGAGAAAAGAAACAAGAAAGAGTCACGACATGCAACTCTTATTTAACTCGTGTTAAGAAAACTAAATAACTTAACAAAGCATTAGAACTTAATACAGAAACAAGGGTAAAATCTTTTGAAGTGATCCTGTATAGCTGCTATTCGGATGCACATAGACTCAAATGCAACAGCTACATGAGACACCCCTTCAAGTGGACACCATTGCTTTATTGTGCTACTTAATGGAACATATCTATTTTTTAAATAAAAACATTAGCAACTCAGTAATAGCATATACATAGCAACCGTAAAAGATAATTCAACAAAGTAATGCTTCAAAGATAAATTCTACTTACCTAAAAGACGCCATTTGTTTTTGCTAATTTCTTCCTTTACAGCATCAGTGGGCACTCTTCTTGGACCTTTTCACCTTCTTATATTGTTTTCCTTCAACAATTTTCATCAGCCATTTTGGACTTCGAGTTAGAAACATAAGATATCCCGTAACAATTCCAAATACAAAGCCACATCCATACCCCATCACTACAACTTGCCAGCTAAATCCACTTGACTTGTCCGAATTCTGGTCTTGTTGGAATGTTGGTGGAGGCGGCAGTGCCTGTAGTTCCTTACATTTCTTTGACAAGGGGATTGTCACACCCCACACTCGCCCCAAAATTTTGGGCATGACCACCTCAGAAACGAACACAAAAACCTGATGAATATAACCTATGGGGCCTGAACGGAAGCATTTAATAACATATAATAACGTAAAATGATATCCATTGAGCTACCACTACTATGCCAGGATCACAAACAGAACATAATGCAGATAAATATACAGTGACGTGCATCTGAAGATAGCCATGTACATACACACATACAGACCCAGCCCTCAAGGCCGGGCGTATAACGAAAACATGAGAAACTAAACGGATTACATACACATCAATCTTAACAGACTTTTAGGGTACAACTTAAAAACTTAGCAAAACTCCATAACTTGAACGGTCAACATCTAAGAGTTTAGATACTCAGGGATTGACAACTGGGTAACGGAAGCCACAGGTTAAGGTTGACCTCCAGGTTGAGTGCCTACAAAAACAGACATAAAATAAAGTGAGCCAAGCTCAGTGAATAATAGCACACAATAATTCAATGTTCAACATGAATTATAATACATATCTGAGCATTTATCAATAAAGAGAACATATGGTTAATTTGTTTCTATATGCATAGCAAAGTATCTTCTTCAGAAAACTTGTCATATCTTGAACATTCGGAGTTTCGTAGCGTATCTAGGCATTTTGGGAAAATTCTCTAGAAAACGTATCATAACATAAACATGTCGGAAGTTCATAGCATTTTTATCATTTCATAAAATACTTATCATATTACGAAATATGGATTTCATTAAACATTGTATCGCATAGTCATTTTCCAAATCATTTATACAAAAGTATCTTTTACAGAACGGCCTTGGGCCCCATCTTAAATAGAGTAGCTTTCAGCCCTTAACAGAATGGCATGAAATCCTTAACAAAATGGCATGAAGCCCTTATCAGAATGGCATAAAGCCCTTGTAATGGCGTAAAGCCCTTGTATTGGCATAAAGCCCTTGTCAGAACGGCATGAAGCCCACAGAATGGCGTAAAGCCCTTGTAATGGCGTAAAGCCCTTGTATTGGCATAAAGCCCTTGTCAGAATGGCATGAAGCCCTTAACAGAATGGCGTAAAGCCCTTGTATTGGCATAAAGCCCTTGTATCGGCATAAAGCCCTTGTATTGGCATAAAGCCCTTGTATCGGCATAAAGCCCTTATATTGGCATAAAGCCCTTTTACATGCTTGTATGAACTCAAGAGGTGTCTCACACGGACTCTAGAGGTGGCTCACATCGTAGCACTTAGTTCCGTGTAGCACTTTGTTTCATATTACAGATCATACAGATTCTTCCAATCATTCACATGAGTTAACATAGCTAGTTTGCGTTAAACAGAGCGTTAAATAATAATTCAGAGATACATAATACCTTAATTTCATAATGCACATACATTCCATTTGCTTGTCATGACTCAATACTGCGAGTTAGCAGATAACAGAATGTTAACCTTAACGATCAATAGTAAACAACGTATGGCCCAAGGACACATTTAGATTTCCTCATGGTTCATTGTAAATCGACATACTTGTCTTGCAATTAATAGAACGTTATAGTAACGATAATCCGGAGGTAAAGGCACCATTATATGAGCTACGTAACAATGTAATGCACATACATTCCATTTGCTTGTCATGACTCAATACTGCGAGTTAGCAGATAACAGAATGTTAACCTTAACGATCAATAGTAAACAACGTATGGCCCAAGGACACGTTTAGATTTCCTCATGGTTCATTGTAAATCGACATACTTGTCTTGCAATTAATAGAACGTTATAGTAACGATAATCCGGAGGTAAAGGTACCATTACATGAGCTACGTAACAATGTTATTGACACTCATTTTCTTTCTATTAACCAACTCCATAGTGTTAATGGTTGTATGCCATTCTTATACGGAATCACAGGTAATTTACAAGGAGGTGCATTTATAAGTTGGTACATTAACGATAATCATTAATCTTATCCGGAATACAGAGTAGGTTCAAAGCCGTACCGATGTGCGCCAAAACCTTTCAATTTTCACACCGATTCCCAATCAACATAAGGCTAACATAACTACTTGTGAAGAGCAGAGCGTCAATAAAAAGAATTATTAACGGTAATCAAATGTGCGATTACAGTACTATTACTCACAATATTATGATGACGTGCTAGTTCCTCCCGGAGTGTCCTACACACATTCACAACTTGTAAATTAGTTCATTCCTCTTTGTTAAATCACTTCTTAATTCATTTCACTTCAAATGAATTTTACACATATTAGTAGGCATAAAATACAAATTCTAAAAATATCCGAGGGTCCAGCGCGTAAAACGGAGCAAACTATTTTTTCCAGCTTGGGCCGCACGTGCAGCTGTGAGCCCCGCACATGCGGCAAACTCTCCTGCACGTACGACAAAATCCTCCCGCACGTGCGGCAAAATCCTCCCGCACGTGCCTTTTTGACAAAACCAAACTCCAAATTTCCCCTTTTCCCCGCACGTGCGACCGTGACTCCCGCACGTGCGGCAGTTGTTCCCGCACGTGCGGCCATAACCCCCTCACGTGCGGCGATTTCCCTGGGTGAGCAGTCTGAATTTCATATAAAACCCATCTTTGGTGAGTATCAACAAGGCCTAAATTAGATCCTTTAATTACCAAAATATAACTTAAAGATCATACAATTAGAAGGCACAACATGTAACACTTAAGATGAATTAGATGTTTAATCCACCACCTAAGAACATGATTCACTTACTTTAACTTAGAACATCATATAGACAAAACTATATAATTTTTACATAGGAAATCTACCAATAAAAGATAGTTCTTTTATTTAAACATAATCAACTTAATTTTAGATCACTTCACAAAATAGAAACCAAGTTAAACAATATTCATACACTAAATTCAATTCCGTGCCCTAGGTTACACAATTGTGAAGAAATCTTACTCTAATTCTAGAGAGGAGCTATGGAAGATGGGTAAACTTACTTTTGAGCTTCAACCTTTCAAAACCCCCCTTCAATTCTTCTAATCTTTAACCTTTGATGAACCTCTCTAGATTCTCTCTCTCTACTTCACACCATTCTAGTTTTAGACAAAATTCTTGAATTAAACATATAAGGAACATAAGCATATATGTATATCTAAAGGCAAATAAGGACAAAATTCAATCGTTTAATCATCCCAAATTGAAATTTCACAGAAAATCTCATTACAGTTTAAAAATCATGCAGATTTCAAATGTCAAATCAATTTCAGATAATTCAGCCTCTAAGGCTTCCAATTTCTGAACCAAGCATTTTAATTGTAACAGATATCTTTTGTATTAAACAGATAGGAATTCATATTCCCAAGATTCACTTAATTAAATGTAATTCACATAGAACTTCACAATAAGCATTCAAAGGCACAGAATAGAGGACTAAAAAGATACCAGAATCACGTACGAGGGTCGGGTTATTACAGGGATTCCGAATAAAGCCTGTATGAATCATTTTCAAATGTATAAAACTACCTCCCTTGAGGAATTGGTCCTACTACTTGGTTGACCGAAAGGTTTAGTACCTCAAGAAACATCAAATTTGTCAATTGTTGAGGAATCTCCCCAACAAGCTTGTTTGAGGAAAGGTCCAATGATTCAAGGTTTTTCAAATTTCTAAGTGAAGTTGGGATATGGCCTGTGAGATTGTTATGAGATAAGTTAAGACCCCGAAGCGAATTAAGCTTCTCAATGGATTTCAGAATCTCTCCTTGGAAATTGTTGCTTGATAAATCAATGATTGAGAAGACAGTTAAGATTCTTGAATATTCAATCTCCAGTCCTTTCATCACCACCACCACCACCACCACAGAATCTTGGTAATAAGGCTCACCCATATATTTCAGTTTCATTTCATGTTCATCCACATTCATCATAGCTTCAAATTGTTTGATATAATTTGTTGGCAAAAGCCCACTGAAATCATTGTAAGACATGTCAATAATTCTCAACTTAGGGAAAGGATGTTTACCCTTGGTCTTGAAGGTGCCTATGTGACCATGAAACCTATTAAATTTCAAGACAAGCACCTGCAAATTTCGAAGTGTTTCCAACCAGTGGGGGAATGTATCATTTATCTTGTTTTTTCCAAGATCTAGAACTTCCAAGCGTCTACAATTGAGCAAAGATCGGGGAACTTGTCCTTCAATTTGATTGCCATTCAAGTTAAGATTCCTTAGCATGTTGCCTTTGGTAAATGTTACAGTAAACGTGCCACGAAATCTATTGATCCCTAAATTCAACACCGATAGACTATTGCTCAAGTTTCCCAAACATTGTGGAATCGAGCCACTCAAACTATTATTAGATAGATCAAGAACTAGAAGATAACTCAGATTGCAAATCAATGCAGGGATTTCTCCGGTCAATTTATTGTCTGAGATAGAGAAAACATTTGTGGTGTTAGGTGGAATAGGGAGTGGTCCTTGGAGTAAGTTGGAGTGCAGGCCAATATATGCTAGATTCTTCCATGGAAGACGCTCTAAACTTGTAAGGAAATTATGAGAGAGATTTAAACCTTCCAATGTATTTTTCCCCACATCAAATATCCATTTTGGAACTTCACCGTGAATTTTGTTGTTTGAAAGGTCTAGAGAACGCAATCTGGCTTGCTCTCTCAAGAAGTTTGGGAATTCGCTTAAGCTGCAAGAAGCTAAACTTATATACTCCAAGTTGGGCAAGGTAGAGTTGACAATGTTGTTGATGCTCAATGAGAGACCATTATATGAGAGATCAAGATAGATCAGATTTTTAAGCTTTAGAAGCTTATCTAGATCCACTACACCACTTAAGTTATTTGATGAAAGCGGCAAGTATGTTAGGTTCTGGAGTTGATAAACTAATCTTGGAATTGGTCCCTGTAGCTTATTGTTACTCCATCCTATAAGAACCAATGAAGGCGGAGCAAACAACGAAGATGGTATTGTCCCATTGAGTGAGTTGTACCTCAAATCGAGAAAAGTTAGTTGGCTCATGTTGCCAAGTTAATCTGGTATTTGTCCGTTCAAATTGTTTCTGGAAAGATACAAGTCATTAGGCTTTGCAAGGTTTGAAATTGATGAGGGGATTTGACCGTCGAAATTGTTATTCCAGAAGTCTAGATTGGTGATTTGTGTAAGGTTCCAAAGAGAAGCTGGAATGGACCCCGAAAGGTTGCAATTGAAGAGGTACAAAATATTCAAGGCTTTAAGATTGCCGATTGATTCATGCAATTGGCCAGAAAAAATTATGAAGGAGAGATCAAGAAACTGAAGGGAACTAGTCACATTGAAGTATGGAAGTTTACCTGTGAGTTCCCAATTTCCCCTTAAATCGAGCTTTCGTAGGTTTAGAAAGTGAAAAATGTTTTCTGAGAATTTCCCACGCAGATGACAATAATCAAGACTGAGAGATGTCAAAGAAGATAGATTTAGCAAAGCATGAGGTAAAGGTGATGAGATATTCAACCAATCAAGGTGTAGTTCTCTTAATTGGGTTAGGTTTCGAAGGAGCATATTGAAAATGTGTTGTTCAAGTCTCACCGGAGAAAAAGAATAAGGATTATAATAATCAAAGTGAGAGAGGTCAAGGGAAACCAATTTGGACAGATGGCAAATTTTTGAAGGAATTCGGCCTGTAAAATTAGAGTAAGAGAGGTTGAGATGGGACAAACTTGGAAAGGAGCCAAAATCAGGTGAAATTGTAGAGAAATTGAAGTCATTGAAAGCAAGATTAAGGGTTTGGAGGTGACGAAGGTGGAAGAGGGTGGTGTTGGCTTGAATGGTGCCCTGAAGGTGGCTGCAACTGAGGTCAAGTCCAATCACATGACCATTCGACCAGTTGCACATGACCCCCTCCCACGAGCAGCAATCACTACTCTCATTCCAGAACACCATTTTAGGAAGAGAATCAGATTCACAACCTAAAGAGGCATTAGCAGTTATGGTAAATGTTGTTTTAAATTGGAGAAGTGAAAATCTCTGGTCCTCGGGGCAGGTATGGCGTGCACAAGTAGAAGAAGAAGACAAGAGAAATAGCAGAAGAAATTGATGAAGAAGAAACATAAGCCAACTCATTTTGTTTTCTTATAGGTAGGAGGAATCAGAGAGATATGAAAACGAGAGTATAATAAGAAGGATAGTAGTTTGATGATGGAGAAGGAAAATATATTACTCATTCTTATACAGCCCAGCCCAGCCCGTAAAGCACGTCAACTGCGTAATTTTATCCATCAGTCATCATGACTGCCAAGTTTGCAACAGTGATTATTTGTCTTTAATTCCAATGGAAAATTTCCTTACATTTGGTCTATTATGTCATTTTAATTTAAGTAATTTTAATAAATTCGAATTCTTAATTTTAGATTTTATATTAATTTGATTCAATTGGTAACGTTGATTATGGTCATTGAAAGAAGAAATGTTATTGAGTTAGTTGAGAATTGAAGTGAATAAGTTTACAATTTTTTAGCTATAAAAATATCAAACATGCAATTCATGTGCACATTTTTCATAAAAAGAAAATACTAAAAGTTGTAATCAATTAGATCAAATTGAGATAAAATCATAAATTAATATCAAAATTGAGTCAATTGAAATATTAAAAACAAAAATAACAAAAGAGTAAAAATATAAAGACTACTAACATAGTTTTCCTTAAATCAATTAAAAGTTGGTAATGCCTTGACTATTTATAAAGCAAGTAATAAAACATTTTGGGACTGGTTTGCTTTTAATTGAACAAAAGCATAAACGTAAGATTTATTTATTTTTTTTTGTTGTCTTGCAGTTTAAAAAATATATGAATTTTTAGGATATTATTTTTCACAAGAGAAATAGCAGAAGAAACATAAGCCAACTCATTTTGTTTTCTTACAGGTAGGAGGATTCAGAGAGATATAAAAAGGAGAATAAGAAGGATAGTAGTTTGATGATAGATGGAGAAGGAATAAATGTATTATTATTCATTATTATACACAATTCTAAGTCTTACTATGGTGATGTTAGAGCGGCCCATCCCGTCAAGCACGGCAACTATGTAATTTTATCCATCATCAGCCATCTTGACTTCCAAGTTCACAGCAGTAAGTCTCTGTCTTTAATTCCAGTGGTCCCAAAGCTATTAGAAATGGTTTTCATAAACCAATAGGAAATTAGATGGGTAGTCTTTATATTTTGTTATTTGTGTCATTTTTAGTCTGAGTAATTTCAATTAGTTTAATTTTAAATTCTTGATTTTAGATTTTGTGTTAATATGGTTCGATTAATAACACTGATTAGGGTTCTTGAAAGAAAAAATATTACTGAGATTGAGGTTAACTCATTGAATTGAACAAGTTTATAATTTTTTGTTTATAAAACCATGACACATGCCGCTCATGTGACTATTTTTTATCACAAAAAAAAAAAACTAAAAATTATAATTAATTGGATTAAATTAAGACAAAATCATAATTTCAAATCAAAATTGAGTCCATTGAAATTATAAAAACAAAAATGACATAAAAGTAAAAATATAAAGACTACTAATTTGCATGAATCAATTAAAAGTTGATAATGCTCAGGCTATTTACAAAGCAAGTAATGCAACATTTTGAGATTGCTTTGCTTTTTTATTGAACAAAAGCATAGGTTTAAGATTCATAATTTTTTGTTGTCTCGAAGTTTGAAAAATAAATTTGTTAGGGTATTATATTAAAAGTGAGTCTTATGAATCACGATTCATTTTATGAAAAATTTGGTAATCATATTTATTACTAAAAAATTTACATAGACCAAAATAATATAGAAATCAAAATACAAAGATTAGTGGTCCAAATAATTGCCCAATATATTTTACGCGTTAATTCTAGTGATCCCAAAGCAAGTCATCAAGGTTGGTCATAAGTGTAGAAAAAATTGGAGTTGGAATTAGAAAGTAAGAGTGATTGGAACATTTTGAGACTGAAATAGAAATGGGAGACAAACCAACCTTGGGTTGGTGGGAAGAAAGAGAGAAATATTTCCAAGTCATCCAACCAATACAAGGTCAAGTCTCTGGCTCTTGAAAAATTATTGGTTGCTCTAGAAGCACCACCTCGCCACTACCAAGTGGTGCACCATTCCAATAAGAGAGTGCCACGCAAGTATAATGTCAGACAGTATGCCACGTTCACAAACGCTTGACTAGTTCAAACAACGTTAACAAACGTTAACATTCTATTCCAAAAATAAAATGTAACACTGAAAGTTGCTTTTTTAAATTTTCAAATTCTCTCCCAAAACTAGAAATTTGAATTTTTTGTATTTGAAAGAGAATTTCTCTTTCTTCTCCCATTCTCTGTACAATTCTTCATCACTCATCACATTCAGTCTTCAACAACAAAACATCACATTCCTTAATTTTCAATTAAATCATCCTTTGAAAAAAAATTACAAAAAAAAAAAAAAAAGCATCAAGATTGTCATCCGCATTGCTCTTGCTATAGCCATAGTAGCAACATCACATCTTCTATTCGCCCTTCAACCTCGAGCGAGCCTCAAGGACCACAATTGTTGTTTTGGATATTAACATTGAACATGGCAGAGATTTTGATTCCAAAATTGTACGACAAAGTTCTCTCATCTAGATACCATTGCTTTATTGTGCTACTTAATGGAACAGATCTAGTACTGAAATTAAACATCAGTAACTCAAATATAGCATATACATTGGAAACCATAAAGGATAATCCAACAAAGTACTGCTTCAAAGATAAATTACTTACCTAAATGACACGATTTGTTTTTGCGGATTTCTTCTTTCATTGCATCAGTGGGCACCATTCTTGGACCTTTTCACCTTCTTATACTATTTTCCTTATACCCCATGAAGTAATACCAACAAAGATGCCAACTTAGCCGCCTCCCTATCATTTAAGTTTCTAAGGAAATCAAAATTCCAAGAGATGGGAGCCATAGAAGAGCATGCCACCAACGCTATCAAAACATTCCTACAACGAACCAACCGATAAAGAAGAGGAAAGCTCCATCAAATGAGATATCTCCCACCCACACATCCTCCCAAAAACATATGCTCACCCCATTCCCCACTCTCAATGAAAGGAAATCAAAGACAAGTGGATACAAGTGAGAAATGGACTTCCACAGAGAACGACAATTGCCTCTATTAACCACGTTAGAATCTCTACCATTGGGTTGAACACAATACTTGCTCTTAACTACTGAACACCATAGCGAATCACTTTCAACAGGAAATGTCCACAACCACTTGCCCAAGAGAGCAATGTTCCTAGCAATGATATTTCTTATAGCCAGACCCCCTTTATCCCTAGGGAGTGAAACAACCTCCCACTTAACCAAATGAACCCTTTTACCCTCTTCACACCCTTTCCAAAAGAAAATCTCTTATCAATTTCTTAATTTTCCTCGCAATGCTAACCGGAATCTTGAATATGGACAAAAAATAAATAGGAACAGAGCCTAAATACAGACTCTACCAAAGTATATCTCCCTCTCTTAGACAACAAAGATTGCTTTCATCCCTCTAATCTTTTCCCAATTTTGACAAGAACAAGCTCCCAAAAGGATGCCACTCTAGGATCTCCCCCAATGGAAGTCCCAAGTATTTGAGAGGAAATAATTCAATGGAACATCCCAACATATCCGCCACCCTTCGTACATAGCTCTTTCCCAGATTAATACCCACAACACTACTCTTGCTAAGATTGACCTTGAGGCCCAACACAATTTCCAAAATTCTCAAAACCTTTAGCAAACTACCTACCTTACTTTCCTCCTTTGATGAAAAAAAATATAGTATCATCCGATCCTATCCCTCCCCACCACAAATCCCTCAATAACACCCTTATCCTTAGCTATATCAATTATCCGACTCAACACATCAGCAACTAAAATAAATGAATATGGTGATAAAGGATCACCTTGCCTTAGACACTTAGATGCCCGAAAAGAGTCCCCAGTCTTACCATCCACAATGACCGACATAATGCAAGACG